TTTAATCTATTTTTGAAATAATTTCACATGAATTTAAGCCATATTTTAATTAAGTTAACTTTATTTTCACCCAAACAATGTTAACACAAACACTGCCGACAATTACACACATACTGTATATTCATTCCCAGAATAACCAAATGTACCCGAAGTGACCCAACTGTCCCATATTTAAGGCCCACTCAATACAACACATTTACATAGTATTCAACATTTAAAGACTTTTACAACTCATTCACAATATTTGTGCGAAAATATTTAAAAATTGTGATTAAATTAATTAAATTAAAAGTTTTACATATTAATAAAAATCGTGTTTTTTATTAATACTTTACAAATTTAAAATGTATTAATTTAATGATTAAAACAATTAACTACTCATTGAAAGTGTGGGGAAAAAGTTTTGTTAAATATTATGAAATATGTGTCAATAGGTGTCAGACGTGTTGTCAGTCTTTGTGTTGTTTTCATTGAATGTAAATATTATTACATTTTTGTCACAAAAATAATATTCATTCATACAATCAGTTCAGTTGATCCCAAGATATGGCACAACAGATAACACAAAGGATGGCATCACTCGAGACCACAGATGACGGCGAAGACAACATTCAACAGGTTTTTTGATAAAAATTTTAATGTTTATTGAGTTAAAAATTATAACATTTTATAACAGTTTTTCTCACATTTTAGCCACAAATGTATGCGAAGAACTCAATGGACAGATTCGGTGATGACATGTGTGCACTCATATTGTCTTATATCACATTTGAGGACCGATTCCGTTACGAATGTGTGTCTAAACAGTTCCAGAGGACAGTCTTCGAGAGTGTTGTCGACATTCATATCTACAACCGTTTAATTGAAAAAATATTGAGCGGAAAGACAATTGACGTCCAAATGTTGGCCACAATTGCCATAAAGTGTGCAAACATTAAGACCATTGACTGTCGAGGAATAGGTTACACATATGAGAGACATATTCCCGAAGTGTTGAACACATTTCGAGACAATTGCCGCCATTTAAGAGATATTTGCACTAAATTAGTGAACGATAGCTCGAAATCGTTGCAAACGTTTGGATCATTGGTCACAGAAATTGGCTCTTTTTCTCCATATCATGAACTCATTGATTGCCAGCGATTGTCAAAAATGTCGACAATGAGAATATCTGATGTCTTCGACACCACTTCCGGCCGACTATTGGTGAAGAATTTGCGGAGAATTGAGTTGAGAACACATTCGAGTGATAGTAAGGAACTGTTGTCTGCATTCGTGGCACACAATCAGTCACTCAAGAGCTTTACCGTAGATCTGATTAATCTTCGATTTGATAAGCCGTTGACCGAAATGTCTGAACAGTTGTCACGATTACC